GCTTGGAGGCTGCTTCTCCCTTTCCCTCTGCCTCTACCCCCATCTCCTGCCCCTTCACTCCCCACTTGTGCTCTCTGTCTCACAGCTCCCTCTCTATAAGTAAATAAAATCTTTTTTAAAAAATTCTCATCACAAGAAAAAATTCTTTTAAAAAAGCATCAGTGGATTTTATTATAGCAATTTGGTTCTATTTTTACTTACAGTAAAAGTTTTATTACCCTCAAATATTGGGATGACTAAAGCACTTATTATGTCACATATCAAATCACTGTATTACATTTAACTTAAAACTTGACAAAATCTAATTCATGTTTTAGGGCTTTACTAACTTGCAAAATGCTAATGAGATTAGATAAGAAATGTCTCTCCTGCATCATGGCTGGGATCAGAGCTCTGGAACACGTGGGTAATAATCAACATGACATTGCTTTCATGATGTCTGCATTTCACATACTATGAAATACTTACTCTAACATACTTAGCATACTTAATGTGGGTGTATTGATCATGGAAGGTTTGGTGAAACTTATGCTATTTATTTGTCCATTTAGAAAAGTAAGGAACTCTAATAAAAAAGAGAACCCAGTTTTTTTAATGGCAAAAGATATGAATAGACATTTCTCCAAAGAAGGCATACAAACAGATGGAACACCTGGATGGTTCAGTCGGTTAAGCGTGCGACTTTTGGTTTCTGCTAGGGTCATGATCTCAAGGTCGTGGATTGAAACACCCCCCCTGCGTTGGGCCCCACACTCAGTGCAGAGTCTGCTCGAGAATCTCTCCCTCTCCTTCTCCCTTCCCCCCATGTTCTCCTTCTCTCTCAAATAAATAAATAAATAAATGAAATCTTCAAAAAACAAATGGCCAATAAGTACATGAAAAGATGTACTATGTCACTACATATGAGGGAAATGCAAATCAAAACCACAATAAGGTACTACTTCCTACCCACTAGCAGAGCTGTAATATATATATATTTTTTAATCAAGAAATAACAAATGTTGGTAAGGTTGTGGAGATTTGGAATCTCCATCCATTGCTGGTGGCAACGTAAAATGAAGCAGCTGCTCCAGAAAACAAACTGACAGTTCCTGAAAAATTTAAACATAGAGTCACCACATGACCCAGTCATTCCACTTCTAGGTACATACCCCAAAAATGAAAATATATGTTCATAGTAGAATTATAATTCCCAAAAAGTGGAAACAACCCAAATATCCATCAACCAATAAATGGATAAATAAAATGTGGGGCATCCTAGCAATGGAATATTTATCTTATAACTAGGATTTTGTACCTCTTAACTGTCTTCCTTCAATTCCTCACCTTTGACCCCCTACCTCTGGTAGCCACATTTTTATCTCTTTCTTGTAGAGGTGTTTTGTTTTGTTTTGCTTGGATTCCACATTTAAGTGAGATTATATAGTATTTGCCTTTTTTGTCTGACTTATTTCTCTTGGCATAATGCCTTCAGGGTCCATTCATGCTGTCACGAAACTAAGATTTCCTTAATTGTTGTGGCTGCATAATATTCCCTATATTTATCCATTCATGCACTGACGGACACGTAAGTTGTTTCCATGTCTTGGCTCTTGTAAATAATGCTGCTATGAACATCATGATGGTGCAGATATCCTTTTGAGGTAGGGTTTTATTGTCTTTGGATATAGTCCCAGAAGAGGAATTGCTGGATCATATAGTGGTTTTATTTTAAAATTTGTGAGGATCCTTCATACTGTTTCCCACAGTGGCCTTACCAATTTATGATCCCACCAACAATACACAAGCATTCCCTTTTCTCCATATCTACACCAGCTTTTATTTTCTCTTCTCTTCTTTAAGATGGTCATTTTAACAGGCAGGAGGTAATAGCTCATTGTGGTTTGAATTTGCATTCCCCTAATGACTAATGATGTTGAGCACCTTTTCATGTACCTGTTAGCCTTTCATAAATCTTTTTTGTAGAAATGTCTGTTCAGGGGCGCCTGGGTGGCTCAGTGGGTTAAGCCTCTGCCTTCGGCCCCGGGTCATGACTCAGGGTCCTGGGATCGAGCCCCGCATCGGGCTCTCTGCTCGGCAGGAAGCCTGCTTCTTCCTCTCTCTCTGCCTGCTTGTGATCTCTCTCTGTCAAATAAATAAATAAAATCTAAAAAAAAAAAAAAAAAAAAAAAAAAATTTCTGTACAGGTTCTTTGCTCCCTTTTAAAGTGGATACTTTGTTTTTTATTATTGAATCATATGAATTTGTTATACGTTTTGGATATTAACCCTAATCAGATATATAATTTGCAAACATTTTTTCCCATTCTACAGGTTGTTCATTCACTTTGTTGATGATTTATTTTGCTGTGCAGAAGCTTTTTGGTTTGATGTTGTCCCACTTGTTTATTTTTTTATTTTGTTTCTGCTATGTGAACACTTTGCTATGTGAAGGAAGCCAGACACAAATATCCCTGAGGAACACAGATGCAAGAATTCTCAATAAAGGGCACCTCCATGGCTCAGTCGGTTAAGCGTCTAACTCTCGATTTTGGCTCAGGTCATAATCTTGGGGTTGTAAGAGTAAGCCCAACATTAGGCTCACCACTGGGTGTGGAGTCTGCTTAAGATTTGTTCCCTCTCCCTCTACCCCTCCTACACCCTCCACCTCTATCTCTTAAAAAAAATCTTCAATAAAATACTAGCAAACCAAAAAATAATAATATATTTTAAAAATCATTCACCACAATCAATTGGGATTTATTCCTGTGTTGCAAGTCTGATTCAATATTTGCAAATCAATCAACATGCTACATCACATGAATAAGAGAAAGGATAAGAATTATATGATCATTTTAGGAGATGCAAAAAAAACATTTTACAAAGTACAACATCCATTCATGATTTAAAAAAAAAAAACCCTCGGGGTGCCTGGGTGGCTCAGTGGGTTAAGCCGCTGCCTTTGGCTCAGGTCATGATCCCAGGTCCTGGGTTCAAGCCCCGCATCGGGCTTTCTGCTCAGCAGGGAGCCTGCTTCCTCCTCTCTCTCTGCCTGCCTCTCTGCCTGCTTGTGATTTCTCTCTGTCAAAATAAATAAACAAAATCTTTAAAAAAAAAAAAAACCCTCGGGGTGCCTGGGTGGCTCAGTGGGTTGAAGCCTCTGCCTTCGGCTCAGGTCATGATCCCAGGATCCTGGGATTGAGCCCCGCATCGGGCTCTCTGCTCGGCAGGGAGCCTGCTTCCTCCTCTCTCTCTCTCTGCCTGCCTCTCGGCCTACTTGTGATCTCTGTCTGTCAAATAAATAAGTAAAATCTTTAAAAAAAAAAAAAACCCTCAACAAAATAGGTTTAGAAGGAACATATTTCAACATAATAAAAGCCATATATAAAAAACCCACAGCTAACATCATCCTCAGTGGGGAAATCTGAGGGTTTTCCCTTAAGATCAGAAACAAGACAAGGATGTCCACTCTCATCACTTTTATTCAAATTGTACTGGAGGTCCTAGCCACAGAAGACAACAAAAAGAAATAAAAGAACTCCAGGTCAGTAAAGAAGAAGTAAAACTTTCACTATTTGCAGGCGACATGATACTATATATAGAAAACCCAAAGAACTCCACCAAGAAACTGCTAGAATTGATAAACAAATTCAATGAAGTTACAAAATACAAAAATCAATGTACAAAAATCTGTTGCATTTCTATACACCAATAATGAAACAGCAGAAAGAGAAATTAAGAAAACAGTCTGGGGGTCAGGAAGATGTTGGCTGGTTCAGTTGACAGAACATGCAACTCTTGATTTTGGACTTGTGGGTTTGAGTCCCATGTTGGGTGTGGAGATTGCTTATAAATAAATCTTAAAAGGTTCCTAGGTGGCTCAGGTGCTTAGATGTCCAGCTCTTGATTTGGGCTCAGGTTGTGATCTCAGGATCATGGGATTGAGCCCTAAGTCAGGCTCCACACTCAGAGTCTGCTTGTCCCTCTCCCTCCCCCTCTTTTTGTCCCCCAACTTCTGCATGTTCTCTTTCTTTAAAATAAATAAACTTTTTTTAAAAAATAAAAAAAATCTTTAAAAAGAAAATAATCCCATTTACAATTGCACCCAAAATAATAAGATACCTAGGAATAAACCTAACCAAAAAGGTGAAAGACCTATATTCTGAAAACTATAAAACACTGAGTAAGGAAATTGAAGATGACACAAAGAAATGGAAAGACATTCCATGCTCATGGACTAGAAGACCAAATATTGTTAAATATCTACTACTTAAAGCAGTCTATAGATTTAATGCAATCCCTATCAAATACCACAAGCATTTTTCACAGAACTAGAATAAACAATGCTAAAATTTGTACGGAACCACAAAAGACCCCAGTAGCCTAAGCAATCTTGAAAAAGAAGAACAAAACTGGAGATATCACAATCCCAGATTTCTAGATATACTACCAAGCTATAGTAATCAAAACAGTGTGGTTCTGACACAAAAACAGACACATAGATCAATAGAACAGAATAGAAAACCCAGAAATAAATGCACAACTATATGGTCAATTAATCTTTGACAAAGCAGGAAAGAATATCTAATGGTAAAAAAAATGTTCTCTCTCCCTCTTCTTTTTTTCTTTTTATTTACTTGATACAGAGAGAGAGCACAAGTAGGGGAATCACCAGGCAGGGGAGAGGGAGAAGCTGGCTCAGTGGAGCCAGACATAGGGCTTGAACCCAGGACCATGACCTGAGCCAAAAACAGATGCCTAACGACTGAGCCACCCAGGTGCCCCTATTTCCTTTTTTTTAAATTTTATCAACTTTTTAATTTTAATTCCAGTATAGTTAACACACAGTGTTATATGAGTTTCAGGCATATAATATAATGATTCTGCAATTCTTTTTTTTTTTTTTTAAGATTTTATTTGTTTATTTGAAAGAGAGAATGAGCAGTGGGGAAGGGCAAGTGAGAGGAAGAGAGAGAAGCAGACTCCTCGCTGAGGAGGGAGCCGGATGCCAGACTAGATCCCAGGACTACAAGATCATGACCTGAGCTGAAGGTAGACTCTCAACCTACTGAGCCACTCAGGCGCCCCTAAAATAACATTTTTAACAGAATGTATCTATGAAGTGGTCTTTGCCAGTTTCTCTTCTTTCTCTTCCTCTTTAGGGGAAAATGTCCCAAGTGAGATCTGCTACCATTGTTCCTGCTCAACCAAAGCCATTTACTTCATCAGATACTATGCCGAGCCCAGGTAAAGCAACAAGATTTTCAGCTTCCTTCAAAACAAAAGCTTTTGAATAAAGAGGTTAGAGTAAACCTAAAATGATATCAGATCAAATTTTTATTTTCCTAGGTCTCTTCAAGTACACATTGGGGAAGTATCTTAAAGGCATAAAGGGTGACCAGATAGACTGGGAAAAGACTCTTGACGGGCAAGGGGCAGAAGAAATGGAAGTAAACATATAATAATTTTGTTTAAGACGAGTAGAATAGGAACAAAATAGGCACATATTTGAAAAGGAAATCACTCTTGAACTCACTTCCACTATTTGTCCAACAAGTTAGACAATGTTAATGCAAGATTACACTGAGTCTGCTCCCGCCAGGGAGATAGCTCTACAAGAAAAAAATGAGATAAACCACATAACTTCTCTTGAACACATCCAAGAGCTAAGGTTTCAGGTCAGCTAAGTACTCTCAGGAGAGACAGACCTTCCCAAGGAGAGACAGGGAAGAGCCGTAGCTGACCTGTGGCAGAGCCTGGCAGGAGGAGACACCAGATACCATGTATACCTGTAAGAAGAATTCAGGTAAATTTTTAATGAACTGCCAAAGGCTTATGTGAGGTAACAAGAAGTGTAGAATCCCTGAAAGTGCAGACACAATGGGAATTTACACCCACTAGCAGGCTCTTCTCAGAATTTACCAGGTGCTCCAGAGAGACCAGAAGCAGAGATGCAGGCTTGGAAAGGGAGCAGCCATCACTACAAGAAAGGCGTGGAGCTCTGCCCAGACCCTACTTCCTTAGAGTCAAAAGCCCTAGGGAGAAGGGCAGCACCCTTGCAGGGAACACGCGAAGACCACAGAAGACCACGGTGATTGAGATAAAGGTAAAAACAAACAAACAAACAAAACTTCTAGTCCTAGGGGAAGGGCAGGACACTCTTCCCTGCAAAGAACCTGCAAAAGATGTGGGCGATTGGCTACTCTCAGAATCACCGAGAAGACCCAACTCCCCCAAGACTTGGGGCATAGGGCCCGCTTAGGAGTAGGGCAGGACCTGCACAGCAGAAAACCTTCCTCAACCTCCACCTCAATCCTCCACCCACCAGGAAACCCCAAGAATCAAGGAATAGCTTCCTTCCATGGTAGAAAGACCCTTCGAGGGCTCAGGACCACAGGAAAGGCTGCACAGACAGGACGGAGCAGAAATGCTGAGAAAAGCCCTCCAGCAACCTAGCGCCTTGCCCTGCCCTCCATATTACAAGTACTGAAAACCAGAGTCATAAAGAAAATTTTGAAGGCAGCCAGAGAAAGAAGACATTAAATGCAGAAGAGCAAAGATGGGAATTACATACCAGCCTTCTTGCTGGAACTGCAAACCAGAAGACAGTGAGTGACATCTTTCAAGTGCTGAAAGAAAATAATGGTCTAATGATAGAGACCAAACTGAGGGTAGGGCTTTATTACCTTTACTACCTCCCAGACAATCAAAGGATCTTAGAACCCCTTAACACAGGGCGCCTGGGTGGCTCAGTCTGTTAAGCATCTGACTTCAGCTCAGGTCAGGAGCTTGGGGTCTTGGGATCAAGTCCCCAGTCTGGCTCTGTGCTCATCCAGGAGTCCGCTTCTCCCTCTGCCTCTCCCCCTGCTCATGCTCTCTTTCTCATATAAATAAATAAAGTCTTTAAAAAAATAAAAAAGAATCCCTAATGCCTCTTACCTTTCTTCCATCTTATACACTATTCTTGAGAATTTTTTTAGGCCCTACAAAACACTGTTATTGTTTCACAATGATTATTTACCCTTTCCAATCCATTTGTATTTTCCATTGCTCTTTATTCTTTCCTACATCTCTGAGATGCCATTTGGTATAATATTCTTTTTGCTTAAAATTTCTATTTTCTTTAATATTTCCTTTAGTGTCAGTTTGGTGGTGACAAAATCAGTCATTTTTTTTAGACATATAAGATGCCTTTAATGCACCATCATTCCTAAGAAATATTTTCATTAGGTATAGAATTTGATGAGTTATTTTCTCCATTGATTCTTTATTTTTTATTTCACTTATCTCCACTCTAATCTTTATCGTTTCCTTCCTTATGTTTGTTTTGGGTTTAGTTTGCATTTATTTTGCAACTTATTTTTTTTAAGATTTTATTTATTTGGGAAAGAGACAAAGGATGGGGAAGGGACAAGAGAGAGCAGGAGGACAAGCAGACTCCCACCAAGCTGGAAGCCTGACTTGGGGTTCCATCCCAAGACCCAAGACCATGACCTGAGCCGAGGTCAGAAGCTCAATCGACTGAGCCACCGAGGCGCCCCTCTTTTTCAACTTTCTTAAGATGGAAGATCACTAACCCAGGTAGGTGCACTGCAAACCATGGCTGTGGCTTGTTTTCAACAAATGGCCCCAGGAGAAAGGCTATTCACACTGAGCAAGGTCAGAGTCAGGTCAAATAAAGACAGGCCCTTGAATGCAGGGTTTCCAGAGACCTGCCAGATGGGTCAAATAATGACACTTACTGAGAATGGTGTTTTCAGAATGGTGTTTTCAGGGGACTCCAAATCTAATCTACCCCAGGCAGTGGCTGCTATTGGTTACTGGTTTTCTTTTTTTTTTTTTAAGATTTTATTTATTTGTCAGAGAGAGAGAGAGGGAGAGAGAGCAAGCACAGGCAGACAGAATGGCAGGCAGAGGCAGAGGGAGAAGCAGGCTCCCTGATGAGCAAGGAGCCCGATGTGGGACTCGATCCCAGGACGCCGGGATCATGACCTGAGCCGAAGGCAGCTGCTCAACCAACTGAGCCACCCAGGCGTCCCTAGTTACTGGTTTTCACTGTGATTGGGGGACTGTTGGTTTTCAAGGGTAATGAGGAGCTGGGGAGAGTGATGAGAATAGGTCAAGTTAAAATGCTACAAAACTCATCATTTTTTAAAAAATATAAATGCTCCTTGGATTACTCCAAGCCTTTGGCTAATTACCAGGATTCTGAAAAATTTCGTCTTGACCAGTATTCTCCATGTGTCCCTCCCTCCTTGTCTTCTTGCTGAATTTACCTTCTTCATTACTTTGAAGCTGTCATTCCACTGTCTGTTTCCTTTCTTTCTGTTGCAAAGGCAGGGGTGGGCCTAATTATTTTTCCTATGAAAATCATATCTTTTTTTTCTCTAGTTACTTATAAGATTTTTTTCTTTATTGTTGGCTTTTAGCACTTTAACTATGGTGTACCTCGGTATGACCTGATGTTCATCCTGCTTGAGATTTACAGAGGTTCATTCTCTCTCCTTTCTTTGGAGGCTCTAATTATGTGTCTGTTAGACCTTTTCACCAGACCATTTTTTTGTTTCTTGTCCATTTGTCTTGTTATGCTGCAGGTAACTATTTTCTTTTAACCTGTCATCCATTTTTTAATACTCCCTTTAGCTGTTCAGCAAACTAAGCCCATTCTGTTTATAATTTGTTGTATTTTTCAGTTCTAGAATTTCCATCTGATTTTTTATAATTTCCAGTTATCATCCAAAATATTTCATGTCTTTAAATTCTTTAAATGACTGATTTTGAAAGATCTCGTTTTGCAGCTCCATTCGCTGAAATTTCTGTGATTTGTTTCCGTTATCTTTCTTCTTTTGGTCCAGGTCTATCTCTTTGTATATGAAGTTATTTTTCAAAGGACTATTACATAGCTGTGCTTTATGAGCACACGTGGTACACATTTTTATTTTCATTTATCTATTTTTTTGAGAGAGACAGAGAGCATGTGAGTGGGGGTGGGGTAGGGGCCGAGGGAGAGGGAGAGAGAAAATCTTAAGCAGGTTCTGTGTTTGGCACGGAGCCCAACACTGGGCTCAACCTCATGACCCTGAGATCATGACTGAGCTGAAATCAAGTTGGATGTTTAACTGACTGAACCACCTAGGCATGCCTACACATTTTTAATTTTTGATATATTTTAAAAAGATTTTTATTTATTCATTTAGCAGAGAGAGAGAGAGAGAGAAGCAGGGGGAGCAGCAGAGGGGGACCATTGTGGAGCTCAATCCCAGGACCCTGGAATCATGACCCAAGCCAAAGGCAGATGCTTAACCAGCTGAGCCACCCATGTGCCCCTTTCATATTTTTAAATTGTAGCATTTGTTTAAGAACTTTTTTTCTATCTGCTAATTAAGTCTACCAACAATTAATGCCACTATGATTCAGTTACATCTTCTTTAGTCAATAGAAATATTTTGAATGGATATTTAAGTCAAAATCACATAACAAAAAATGAATCATTTTAAGACTTACTGTGGTCAGGGCGCCTGGGTGGCTCAGTGGGTTAAAGCCTCTGCCTTCAGCTCAGGTCATGATCCCAGTGTCCTGGGATTGAGCCCCACATCCAGCTCTCTGCTCAGCGGGGAACCTGCTTCCTCCTCTCTCTCTCTGCCTGCCTCTCTGCCTACTTGTGATTTCTATCTGTCAAATAAATAAGTAAAATCTTTAAAAAAAAAAAAAAGACTTACTGTGGTCATTTCTCAACGAATAATTATGTTGTATACCTGAAACTGTTACATGCCAGTACCTCAATTAAAAAGTAAAGAGTTTTAGGTACTTTATTTTTTTAAAGACTTTATTTAACAGAGAGAGACACAGCGAGAGAAGGAACACAAGCAAGGGGAGTGGGGGAAGGAGAAGCAGGCTTCCTGCTGAGCAGGGAGCCGGATGTGGGGCTCAATCCCAGGACCCTGGGATCATGACCTGAGCTGAAGACAGACGCTTGACAACTGAGCCACCCAGGTGCCCCTAGGGAATTAAAGTACATAATTAATTAGCATTTACTATATTCACAATATTATTTTTTGCCTTGCAATTTCTCTTTTTAAGACTTTGAGAGAGAGAGAGCAAGAACAGGGGGAAGAGGGAAAGGGAGAAGCAGACTCCCCACAGAGTGGGGAGCCTGATGTGGGGCTCGATCGCAGGATGCTGGGATCATGGAAGGCAGACACTCAACTGAGTCCTATATTCACAATATTATACGATTATCACATCTATCTAGTTCCAATATATTTCCAACATCCTAAAATAAAACTCCGTATTTAGTAAGTAGTCACTCCTTTTTCCCCTCTCAACCAACCGTGGCAATCACAAATCTGTTTCTATGAACTTAGCTCTTTTGGATACTTTGTATAAAAGGAATCATACAATATACAATATACAATATATGAACTTCTGCATCTGACTTCTTTCACTTAGAACTATATTTTGGGGGCACCATCTGGCTATTGTGATAGTGCTTCTGTGGACATTTGCATCCACATTTTTTTTTTAAGATTTTATTTATTTATTTGACAGAGATCACAAGTAGGCAGACAGGCAGGCAGAGAGAGAGAGTGAGAGAGAGAGGAGGAAGCAGGCTCTTTGCTGAGCAGAGAGCCCGATGTGGGGGTCGATCCCAGGACCCCGGGATCATGACCTGAGCCTAAGGCAGAGGCTTTAACCCACTGAGCCACCCAGGCGCCCCTGCATCCACATTTTTTGAGTGGATTTTTTTTTAGAGGGTTTTTTGTTTTTGTTTTTGTTTTTGTTTTAGATTTTATTTGAGAGAGTGAGTGTGACATCTCACCAATACATGTTCTTTTCTGTTTTTACTCTAGCTCTCCTTGTGGATATGAACTGGTACCTCGGTGTGGTTTTGCTTTGCACTCCCTTGAAGACTACACTCTTATGCTTTCATGATTCTGTCTTCAGCTTTTGACAGTTTGAATATATAATGTGTCTTGTGGGTCTCTTTGAGTTTCTCCTGTTTGGATTTATTGAGTTTTTGGATGTAAAGATTCAACTGTTATAATGAATTTGATAAGTCTTCAGTTGTTTTTTTTTTTTTTTTTAAGATTTTTTTTTTGTCAGAGACAGAGTGAGCACAAGCAGTCAGAGTGGCAGGCAGACGCAGAGGGAGAAGCAGACTCCCTGCGGGACAAGGAGCCCGATGAGGGACTCGATCCCAGGACACTGGGATCATGACCCGAGAGCCAAATGAAGGCAGCCTCTTAATTGACTGAGCCACCCACGTGTCCCTCAGCTATTATTTCAAGTATGCTTTCTGCCCATTTCTCTCTTCTGGTACTCCCATTTTGAGAATGTTGGTATGATTCATTGTGCTCCACAGGTCTCTTAAGCTGTGTTCATCTTCCTTCATTCTTTTTTCTTTCTGCACTTTGGATTAGACAAATCAGTAACAGCTTCAAGTTCACTGGTTCTTTCTACTGCCTGTTCACATCTGCTATTGGAAGCCTCTAGTGTTGTGTGTGTTGTCATTTGTTTGATATTTTTTAGCTCAAAATGGCTGAAAAATATCAAACTGATATGGCTCTTTTTTAGTTTACCAAGTCTCTATTTGTTGAGACATTGTCCTCCTGAATTCCTTTAGCTCTATGAGGATATTTGAGACAGCTCATTTCAAGTCCAATGTTTACTTCAAAAGGGGTGGTTTGTGTTAATTTTTTTTTAAGTGGGCCATACTTTGTTTCTTTGCATACTTCTTAGTTT